TAGAAAAGCCGAGACGTTATACGTAGGCGTTTCAGCCATCGGACCCCTTGGGTGCTGCCGAGGCTCAGTCGCGGCGACTTCCGGGGCCTGACGGCAGCCCATTGCCAGTGACAAAGTCATTATTGTCATACTACGTAAAAAAGCATATATGCATACAATATTTTGCGGCCCGCAGTCTGGTTCCCTACGGCCACCACGTCCCACACCTTGCCGAAGCGCTAAAGGGTGTCCATGACGAAAACACCTGCGTCCCGCAGCACGCCGGCTACGTCCAGGGCCGCTAGTACAATGCTGCTGACAGGCAATTACTTCAGGCCGGACAAAAACGGCAAAAATATAATTTTCGCATGGAACGGCAGCAAATTATGTATCGTTAATTTTGAGCTCAACACCTTCCTGAATGAGACCAACCAGATGGCAGCCAAACAGCCGCCGTAAGATTAGCTTGTTGCGACCACAGCACTGCTGTGCCTCCAATAGTTCCCACTGATTCGGTTCGCCCACTGCTTCGGTTTTGCAGCAGGCCAGAACAACGGCAAGCCTCTGTTTGGGGACAACTGAAATGGGGTCTATCGTTGTTGGCCTTATATGGCCAAGACCTCCACCATGTCAGAAGGTGTCGATCGGGATTATAGTCATTGAAAACGGTCCTCTGACAGCCATGGACTCATCACACTTCAAGGCGACTGCGCGAGCTCTAGATCAAAGACAGCCAACAACATTAACAGAGTCATGATTTACCTAAAAAATGTGGATTTCAGGACGTTCAAAAGGCCCCGAATTACCAGGGTGCTCGGAAGCCACGATGGACGCTGATTAGGCTCAGGTGGCCTCGGCTGGAGTGACCGAACAGACACTCTTTGCATGCTTTTTTTTTTACTGCAGAGGTTCCTGGAACGGTCAAAGGAAATCAGAGGGCATAAATGAACCATAAATGTCAGGGCCACGAGCCGCCAAGAACGGCCAAGACAGTTGGGGATTGCAAAACAGTTTCGGCTGAGGGTTTCCTTCTTCATTCAAGTAGCATTACGCGTCTGGATTTGTACGTAATTCCGTTAGCACAGTTTAGAAAAGCAGCGTTGGGACCAGGCGCATTTCAACGCGCGAAAAGACCGTTCAAATGATGCGAACGCGACCTCACATTGACCGGGGACCGTGGCTCCGCGGGACCGAGATATGAGCTGACCAGAAAAATACAGTGTGTTGCGTGCGACCAACAAGATGGAAGCGTTATCATGTGAGTTCTCAGTCATCATCTTGTGGATGGCGCTAAAACATTAAACTCACAGAGCCGGTAACCTGATAGGGCCAGACGCTTCCAGAAAGTCATACCATTGCTGATGAGTCTGTTGGGAGGCCCGTATTTCAAGTCAGTTTAGCAGGCAGAGTTTCACCGATAAAGTGTTCGCGGGCGTAATTCACA